GAAAGTCCCCACAGTCCCTTGAAAGACTCGTTGGGGTTTTAAAGGGAACAGGGCAGCCATTTTGGGAGGTTCCCTGTTTCGAGACAAGCCCCCGTCCGTGATTGCAGGAATGGCGACTTTGGGAAGGTCCAGTGATATGAGTGGGTTCTTCCTACCCCCAATAGCTTGCCTGGCTCCGACTACTGTTGTAGAGATCAATGAACAGAAGCAAGCATTTGTGGTTGCCTACTGGCTACGTCAACTTTTTTGGGCCGATTGAAAACATATGTCCTTGTAGTGGGGATGTGCAACGTTGCCAGATCCAGTTGGGCCCAGGAGTGGACCATGGATGCTGTGGCAATCCCGTTGTCTGTGCTAGGATCTCCTAGGGCGTGTAGTCAAGGATGGTCCACTGCCAGGTCGGTCCATCCAGAGCAACAGGCGAAGTGGCTGGTAAGAACCTTTCCTTGAGTCATGGGGATGAGCGTGGCTATGGACAGGCAGGATACAATCAACGGACATGTCGGTTGGTCTGCACATCTGCTGGGATCAGCTTTCCTGAAACCAAGGCAGCCAGAGGATTCATGTTCGAATTGAGGACGCATCATCTCAATCCGAGCACAACATCCCAGCCGAGGGATCAGAGGATCCCGGCAAAGGTCGAATTGAACGACGGTCCGCCTTGTGTGTTGGGGCCGGAGATTGCCGACCGGGCGGTCCAGGCGTGAACCGCTTGGAAGCGGCTTCGCCCACTGTTGGGGAGCATCTTTGGTGGGCTGACGTCATCTACGTCATCTTACCATCTTCCTTTCAGTCCCTGGAATTGGGGCGTTTCCAGGTCAGTTGTTGGCTTGCCCTAAAGCTCATGGGGCCAACAAAGTGCCCCGACTTCGGGGATTCCGTGGGGGGCCGTCCTTCCGACCTCGGGGACGTATCCAAAAGGAAAAGCTTTGGCTCGTCGAAGGCCTGGCGGTGATCCGGCGGAAGCTGGAGGACCTCATCGCGGAGGCGCGGGGGCAGCGTTGTTTGAGAGGTCCTCTTTGGTTTCTCAAATTGAAATGGAACCCAAAAAGGGATCCTCTCAACAGGAGGTTCCATTGATGACTTCTTGGGGTTGTATCTAAGAAACCCGTTGAAGCCCTTTGGCAGTTCCCGATCCCAGCGTGCGCAAAAGAAGGATACAGCAGGAAAATGCTAGGCTCATGCCGCCATGCCAAAGTCATGAGACATGCTTGGTCAAAAGGCAGTTCCCACTCGTCTGATCGACATGGATCCTGGACATCCATGGCTTTGAGAGGACTCGCCTTTTTTACCCGTTCCAGGTTTAATTTGCAGGGGAGCCCATCCAATGGGAGGGCTCGTTGGCACGGCGTTTGCCAGGACTGGTGGCTTGCTGTACATGATGCAGAAGGGCTGGAGGACTGCTAGCGGGTGGTAGCATCTCAAGCCCTCTTCCATGCTGCCAGCTTGCAATGGACGCTAAAACCTGAGTCCGATCTTCGGTGCCGGCGGGCCTGGTTTTCTAAGTACGGGATCCCATTTCATCGAGGCCCTTGGTCAAAATGGGAACCCAGCAATCCCTGCGGATTGCCTTGACATACCCTGCTTTGAAGTTTCGCTTGAGGAGCTTCTGCACTCGCATCTCTCCGAGAGGAGCGGATCGCGTGCTGGTGGATGAAGCTTAGGGGAGAGTCCCAAGTATAGGTATGGCAAGCCTTGTTTGATTCATCCTTCAATTATTTACCATGGCGACCGGACGGCTTGATGGGACCTGATCATGGCTTTGATCAGAACCATCTTCGCCATGTCGGGGTTGCCTCGGCTCAGGTTTCGAATTCTCATGCCCCAGGTATTTTGTGGATTCCTGTTGCAAGTGAAACACGCTTCCGACCACAACCAGGTAAAGTGCCGCAAACTGCAGGTGTTTCCTTGCATGGTCAGCCTCCCATGAACAAGCGCTGAACACACCTGGAAGTGTCGGATTCCTCCCTTGCGCACTTCAGGAAGCGGCGAGGGGATGATCTCACCTTCGGGCCGCGTGCTTAGAAGAGCATTGGGCATGGGAAGGGAAGTGGATGATTCCCCGAATGTGTAAACTCTAAGGAGTTCCAATGTCTAGATCGTGGTCAAAAGGTGAAATCTGCCGGCGGAGGCGGTTCAAAGGAAACATTTTTCGACTCTGGGAGTTTTTTTTTTTGAGGGTATGGAAACCACCGTGCCGTGTTGTATCCCCACGTGCCGCAGAGCCGTGGGAATTCTTGCAAATTCTTTCCCGATGCCAATCAAGCTGAGGCAGAGGAAGCGGCTGGTGAAGCGCTTCAAGGAGGCCCAAAGAGCGGGTGCCAGTTCTGGACTTCAACTTTTCCGGAAGATGTTTGCACAAGTCCAGGCACTTTTTTTCTGACTCTTGGGAAGTCAGTAGCCCGAGGCGTCCGACAAGTTTGTGTAACTTACATTTCGGCCCGGGCGAAAATCCCAGCTGGCCTTTTAGGGAAGTGTACAGGGAATCCGTTGCTTGCGGTCAATCAACATCTTCCATCACTCTGGGAGGACTTTCTGCGTTTCTAAATTTGTTTGCTTTTGTCACAGGATAGGAGAGCCTCCCAAAACGGTTCGCTTTTAGTTGGCTTCCTTTTGAAACAACCCGGCAAAAGGGCCAGAAACAATGTACCCGTACAATTCAAGGAAAACATGTCCTTCCTCAAGATGCAGCTCGTGGTGCGGCAACTGTTTGGGAGGATCGAAGGGCACTCACATGTTCCCAATGACAGCTCTGGCAGCTTCCATGTGCAATGTGGGGAGCAACGGAGTTCTTCGTGTTTATGTTGCAGGTGGGCGGTGTGGAAGAGTTCCTGAATGGGTTCGACAAGATCAACCTGGCGCAAATGCTAGAGCAGCACAAGGCAGGCGCAAGAGTGCATGTCACAAAACTGCTCCTACCCCCCAAACACACCTCCCCAGTTTTGGTCTGGGCCTGGGGCCGAAAGCGACGACCCGGCTCGTTTGAGGGGGGCGTTCCCTAACAGCATATAGACAGATCTGAGATTACTGTGAAGCTTTTCCAGCGTCTTGGCAATTTCTAGAGACCTGACAAGGGGGTTGCGAGTGAACACCCAGGCTCGTTGCAGAACTCCTAACTGGTGAGGAATTCAGCCGTTCCCAGGCCTTGCGGGAAGCACGCATCAAGGATGTCTCCGTCATCGAGTCTTTGGCGCAAATCGGCGGGCTTGTGAAGAACCAGGCGAATGGGGCTGGGGGGGTGGGGGTGTAGCCTCGAGGTGTGGCGATGTCGCGCTTGGCTCGGTTCCGAATATGGCCATGTCCCTTCAAGCATAAGATGTTCATGTTACGTACCTCGCTTTTTGCATGCCTCTGGACCTTGGCCTTCCCTTTTTGTCAGACGGCCATGACTTTGAATGAGGAAAACTTCCAACATGGTCGGACGGAAATCCACCTGATTTGATTTGATCTTTCAGATACCCCAAGTTTCCGATTGGGGGGATTCCCCATGAGCACACGGCTTTCAGGTGGGTTTCTTCACGTGTTGGGATGCCAGGTGGACCACCTGGACGGGCTGCAGTCCGTGGCGGCGACGCTGGTGCCCGGAGCCGAGGGTCCCGCAAGAGCGGGCCACCTGCCCCCACGAACTCGTCGGGGAAGATGGGGTCACCCTTTGGGTACGACAGGCAGTGAATTGATTTGGTTTTGTAAGATTTGGACTTGACCAAGAGAACACTTGGTGAGTTATGTTGTTCAAAGACGCATTTACTTGATGGTTCTTGTGCACTTAGTCCTTTCCAATTCATTGCAGGGCAGTTCGGGCAGCCCTTCATTGATTTCACCCTTGGTGATGTGGCCAAGTGAGGGGATGCCATCCCATTTGCCTGCAAGAACCTGGGCTGAAATCCCCAAAACCATTGGTGGAAGCTTGATTAATCCCGACCAACCTAAACTACGGAGTGGGGTAAGCCAGTTGTGAACCAGAGTCAACATATGCAAGAGTTGCCGGTCATGGGCTGTTTTCTTTCTCCCCAGTTAAAGCCTTGACTAATTGCATTGGCCTTGTGTCAAATAGCAAAGCTTGGCTGAAAAAGTGTGCGAGCAGTGGCTGCTGAAAGGTTTCTACCCAACCAGTCATGCATGCGTCAGCGTAAAGCCTATGTTTTATGCGCCCTAGCTCTTTCATGCGCCCTAGCTGTTTCATGCACCGTTTCTGTTTTGAGGTTGCTTGCCTTTTTGTGAAGAGCTCTGGTTGCCCTGAAAGGCCTTTGCCCAAGGAACAAACACGTGGTCGAAGGGAACCATCTCAGGAGTCAAACACTTGCAGCACTCTTGCGTAGTCTCAAACATCCGCCTGATTCTGCTGAGCTCATGGCAGGCTTTACAAAGGGTCAGCGAACCCAGAATTTGTCCAACTGTTTGCTCAACTCCCTTTTTGTTAAGCCCAGCGGAGCCCAGTCCCTATAGGGTGAAGGCAGCCCAGACTCGTCTGGGCTCGCTCCCATCTCGTGTTGAGGCGATGGGGAGACCGGCACTATCGCGGCGAAGAGCCCGTGAAGCTATGGAGGGCTTGGGCCCCAAGTCTGATGGAAAGTCTGAGCTCGATTGCAACCCGCCCAATCCGATTCCAGACCCCAACTGAGAAGTCAATCCTTTAGTTTTTTTTCTTTTTTCCGCATAGTTTGATCTGGTTATGCCGCTATGCCTAGCACTGCGAATGATTCGGCTACTTTCGAGGTTTGGCCACAGCACTCGCACTCGAGCGTCTCGACATGCCCACCCAATGAAACGCCCGGGTCCACATCCATTCGAAGGGGGCCCCGTCTTATCTCTAAGGGTCAAGGGAGAATCATGATTTTCCAGTTCGTCCGGGCCTTCGCCTCATGATTTCCAGGGGGCCAGTGGGGTGCTTTTGGATTTCTCGGGCCCGAGGCAATGCACCAGCAAGTGACCTGGCTGCTGTCCGCCATCGAGGAGAATGGAGCCTTGTGGGGCGCCCCGGGATTGCCGCATTGCCGTTTTCCAGCCGGTCCCAGGGCTGCGTTTGAGGCCTGGCGGAAACGGGAAAGCATATTTCCGAAATCGGTTGAAGACTTTCTTCTGTCTTTTTCTGTTTTTGGGGTTGGGGGGGCTGCTCAAATGATGAGTTGTTCCGGCAACCAACAGATCGAACAAATGCGCAGGCTCATACTAAGTATACTTTGGGCACCAGCACCTGTTCAAAGTGGGCCTCGAAGGGATCACCTGGAATCCTAGATTGATAACTTCCATTTACGTCAAACCACAACTACTGTGCACCCCCAACATGGATCCGCGAATGCTCATTCCGGCACAGGCTCAAGGCTACGCTCAACAATGGCAGCAAACATCCGGGGCCGCGGGCCCAGAGTCAGGAAGCTTTCGGGCAAAGTTCCGCCTCTCAAAACACTGAGGCTTCGAGACTGCATGAAGCTTCCTTTCAAGCAAAAGGAAGCTTCCCAGGTGTTTGCCAGATGCATCTTCCAGCCGAAATCCAGCAGGGGAAAGCAGCAATCGCTGAGGAAAGAGCCGGAGCTGACGCCTGCACGCCTTGCTGAGCCCTGAGTGATCAATTCCTTGCAATTGGCCTTTGAGACAATGTAAGGCCAGCCAATACATCCGAAAACCTGGCCTATGAGGAAACGCCGGGACAAAGGGGCGGGTGCTATTTACGCCTGAAATATGTACGTATTGAGCGATTTGGAGGTTGCCAGAGCTTCCCATCTGGCCTAGCTGTGCACGCAGCAGACAATGGCAAGCATTGGCACGCCGAAATGGCTTCATGTCTCAGGCGCAATTTCTGCAAGCCTTGCGGCCCCTGGGAGGTGCCGGGATCTTAGACCTCTGGGTGCAGATGGCAACACAAGAATGATTCCACCACTCACAATAAGGGAGCCATCCATAACCCGAGCATGTTCCGGATGAATCCACAGTTGAGATGAGCAGATTCACAGGCCGGGAGCCGATTTGGAGGAGGTTGCCTGAGATGGGTAGATCTTGTGGACATCAGAGGTTTCATGCATCGGATTTATGTCCCCCCGAACGTTGAGGGTGTTCCGTTCGATCGAAAGTCACGGCCGAGGTCGAGCAGCCAGCCCATAGCGTGAACCCCCCCTCCCCCGGAGGTGTTTTACTACCACACCCCAAATCACATCCTGGACATCAAATATAGAGACAGAGAGCCGAAGAGAGAGCAGACCACAGCTGTTTGGCTTCCGGCTTGGATGTACCAGACCTCAGCATTCAGAAGCTTTTGCAACAAGTTTGTACCCTTATGGCTGCTTTGTTTCCCTTGTCGTCCAAAAGGTGGCACATCAGCCTCATTTTTCCGGGGACAGATCCCGCCCCTTCAAAGTGGAAATCGGGGAGGTGACCTTTGGAGATCTCCATACCCTGCGGAATCGGACCAGACGCATCGGAAGGGGAACTACACCCCCTTGCCCTGGGTCACTCTTTTGGGACCGCAGAATTGGGCAACCCAACCCCATTGGCCCGAGAAAGGGTACAGGTATGGCTGTATCCACCCAGTTCCCTCAGTGGCGCATTTATATTTCAAAAAGGCCCCAAGAGGCGACAGCATTTGATATGTACATATAAAGACATATATAAATACATATATATAAAGACATATATAAATACATATATACATACATACATACATACATACATACATACATACATACATACATACATACATACATACATACATACATACATACATACATACATACATACATACATACATACATACATACATACATACATACACATACATACATACATACATACATACATACATACATACATACATACATACATACATACATACATACATACATACATACATACATACATACATACATACATACATACATACATACATACATACATACATACATACATACATACATACATACATACATACATACATACATACATACATACATACATACATACATACATACATACATACATACATACATACATACATACATACATACATACATACATACATACATACATACATACATACATACATACATACATACATACATACATACATACATACATACATACATACATACATACATACATACATACATACATACATACATACATACATACATACATACATACATACATACATACATACATACATACATACATACATACATACATACATACATACATACATACATACATACATACATACATACATATTTATACATGTACATATATATATATATACACATATTTATACATGTACATATATATATATATGAATACATAAATATAGATATAAATATAAGTATAAATAACTATATATATACATATTATGAAACACATATATGAATAATTAAATATCTCTCTCTATACATTCCATACCGAAAAGATGCAAGTGGCTTCGGTATGAGCCCAGGTGCCCGGGTTCCTGTCGGCCTTCCGGGGCCTGGACTTCGCCACGGCGGCCGCGCAGGTTCGGCCCACGGCATCCCATGGGTCGCTTGGGTCGTCGGGTCGGTCTTCGGGTCGCTTGGTCTGGTGGATCTTTTCCTATGGTTGACGGGTCTGGTTGATTCACCTACTTGGGTGGATTTGTTCCTGTTGATTGGGTCATTGGGTAAGGATGGACAAATCCATGGGATGAAATTATCACAGATTTACGCTCCAGTGATGTTTTCCGTTGGATAAGGATAGGAGGCTGTGATTATTTGTATTGGTGAGTTCCTTCCCTAATGTGAGCTGCGTCAGCTATCCCTGTGACCGAACGGTGTTTAATTGTATGCGTACAGAGTACGTGCATTTGGAGCACAGCTTATGCGTTGGCTGGCAGATCTCCATGATGGTTGTATCTCTTCCCATGGAAATGGGACAGTTTTCCAGTTTTCCAAAGGAAGCCTTTTGATTAGTGAAGGCCCTTTGAAAGTTTGCCGTGCGCGCCTTGGCAGGCCCGTGTCTTGCACGACGCCTGCGCCGGGGCTCTCATTGCAAGGCACTGGTAGGCAGAGAGGAGTTGACGTTTTCAGGCGGGCCTAGAGCTATGATAATGGTTTTTCCTTTCTGCTGATTATAGCAACTGGAGGCACGTGTGACCACATTTTGTCAAACAAATCAAGCATCGGGTGCATAGATCTGCCGTCTGACCCCGTACCTTCTCGTAGATTTTAACCAGGCCGATTGCTGGTCTGCAGGGTCGGCTTGAGGTGCGGAGTGCAGAGACCACCAAGCGCCTGGCGGGCATCTACAAGCTCCTGAAGTTCAACCCCGCAAGGGGCCCAACAAAACGGCCCAGTCCACATCCATGAGATGGGGGCGCCTTTTTGACTCCACCTTGGGGACCCAAAGATTTGGTTCTCCTTTTTGGGTGCTATGAACGGAAAACCAAATGGAAGTTCCCGAGTGACCAGAGCCTTCCAAGGGACAGCACGTGGTACCCCAAGTGCCCCAAAAAGGATTTGAGATGGGCAACTCAGCCGCCCGTGGAAGGTGCGGATCAGGGCCCTTTTTCAAGCATTTGTTCAACCTGCAAGATCACCCTACAGAAGTCATGTTTGGTTTGGACCCAGACCCTTTCTTTCCGGCAGAGCAGGTCACTACTGGAACCACCCTAAAACCTCAAATGGACCATGTAACTGGGATCTCCCCAGGAAAAACAAGGTTGATACCACACCACTCAACGATGGAAAGACCACCTGCACGCTCCCTAACCGCTTTTTGAACAAAGGAACCTCCACACAAAGACTCAGCGGCCCAAAGCCGACGGCTTCGGGTTTCCACTTGGCCAACTTTTAGTCATGGATTTCGTCCCAAAAGCTTCGCCCGGGATTTCGTCCAGAAGGGGCAGCTGAGACATGTCGCGGCTCGCGGCGCCCCAGTCTCAGCTCCGGGGCTTGGAGCATTTCCTGCGCGGCTTCGGGGGCCCAGTCTTCGCAGAGGCGCGACCGGGGGGGGGGGAGAGGGGGGGGTTGGGTTCCAAACAGGGTCATGGCAAGATGCTTGTTTTGTTTTTGCATTTGAGAAAAGCACGGTCAAAAGAAGGTGTGCTCGGGGTTTGGTAGGGATTGTCACGGACTCAACAGGGAATTTGGATGATCATGATAAGGATTCCGCTTAAGGGAACCATGACCATCGGCCACATAAGGAGTTTCTGACAACAGCAAACCCAAGACAGTTGTTGAGCGTGCCACAAGCGTGCCACAAACACATGCCAGTTTGTGGGATCCGTTTCACGCATGCTAGCACCATTGCTTTGACATCAGAAACATCAGTCTCTCGCAGGGACGCAGAGTTTGGCCAAGCCCTTACCGTGGCAGCATGCTATTAGCCGACCTTTCGGGTGGGGTTGGAGGGAAGGAGCTAACCCCGGTCCAGTTGCAAGGTTCTTCCCCCGGTTCTTGAGGTCGGCGAGTCGGCGAGCTAGATTTTCCTAAAGGGGTGTTGCGGTGTTGCCTTAGCTTTCAGCCCAAGAATCCGGAAGATCCTTTAGGGTGACAGGGCTTGGTCTCAGATTTGCTTTGGATCCTTGGAGGGCGAAATTCGGGATTGGCCAACTAGCGACGGAAAATCGGGCGTCCAGACTTTGGAACCTTTGTGAGCGCTTGGTCAGTGAGGAATTTGTTTCCTTGAGTCGATTTTGTGCGCCCAAAAGCAGCTGATGCAACACCCAGGGCGGGAAGCTCGTTGGAACACGTTTGCGGGGAGGAACAGTGCCCATTTTTGCTGGTGTTTTGAACTCCCTGCTAGGCGCTTCTTGCACGGAAGATGGCCCCCAGATCGGGGCGGGGTCGGTTCAGTGTGGGGTCCTATGTTAATCTGCAGTTTAAGTCTGGGGAAATCAAACAACCCAACCCTGGCGCTGAAGAACCTCCCAGGCGCAGACGCAAGGCGGCACGCCGCAGGAGCTTGATGCATGCGTCAAGAGTTCCCACCGGCAGACGAACCCGAAAGAATGAGTACTTGTGGCAAAAATGCCCCTTGGTGACCGTTTGCCATGTGACGGGCCGGCTTGCCTTTTCGATTGGATCGCAAATCAGCGGTTTCATGCTGCCATGTGTTGGGTTTTGCAACTTAAATGGGGCTATGTTTCGGTGGCCAAAAACAATGCCTATGTGGTGAGGGTTAGGATGCATCACAAATCCTTGCATCAATCTCTCCAAATGGTTGCTTTCAGGTTCCTATTTTACCGTCCCAAGTCCCATTTCGGTTTGAGACAATGCAGCATTTGAGGAATGCTGTTGACAGGATTGCAGGTTCATAGGATCCGAATGCCTTGAGTTGGTGACCGTTTGACCTTCGGGATCACTTTCTGCTGTCAACAGAGACGGGTTGCTGTGCTTTTGAATGTGGACCATCCTCCAACATGGAAACAACATGGTGATGCTCAAGGCTGCAACCAATTGAGCTTCATTCGGTGAGAACCCTTTTGGGCTCGCCAACACGGCAGGATCGTTTACTGGTAGCTCAGCGCTGGCAGTGACTTGGGCTTAGCATCGACCTTGCATCAAACACCAGAACACTGGGTCCATTCAAGCCGCCTTTTACATGTGGGGTGGTGGTAGGAAGGATCATGGATCACGCTCCCTGTTCCACGGTTTTCAGGCTCAGGTGTGAAGTGCTTGAGAGGCTCAAGTCGCAGTCCAAGCTCAGAGCAAGAGTCGACTTTTGAGGTCTCATGGGGAATTGATACCTTGCCGGTTGGGCTCGTCAAGAGCTCGAAACTTGGCGCGTTTTCCTGGTTCCCTCTCAAAGTTCCTCCTCAAAGGGCGCATGTCGAAGTGTTTGGCATAGTTCCGACAAGATGTCCATGGTCACAGTCAGTATCCTCTCTCCCCTCAGTGCCTCAGCAGCAAAGGAGTGACAACCCCACACTCCCACCTCCCAAATAGGGAAGAGGGGTTCGACCCATGGAATGCCATTTGTCTCCTTTGTAAACAGACTAAATGGGTTTCTCTGCATTTTTTCAGGGTACCCTTTTCCGAGTCGGTTCAAACACGAACAACAAGGATCTGAAAAAGAAGCCGCTCCTCATTTTGGAGAAGCAGAACCGAGCAGCCTGAAACCGGATCAAGTCAGGCCCTCTCAGTTGCTAGGGAATTTCTTGGGGAAGCCGCCAGTCGGCACCACCCCTCCCACCCCCCTTGAGGGTTCCTATTGCCCCAGGTCTGACCAACTTCTTGAGCCAAGCCGCCGGGCGAGATTTGCAAGCGCCTTGCGAGGACTCGTGTGGACCTCAGCTGAAGCGCCGCGCGGCATGCCTGAAGGGTTGCAAGAGGAACAAAGGATTCCCCCGAACTTACTGCAGTTGACACGGGTTTTGTGGTATGTGCTTAGGAATCCAGGGTGCCGGCTCTTGTATGCCGAAGAGTGGAGACAGCCCCTTTAAACAAATCAGGCGAAGGCCGGCATGAGATGGCTTTGGGCAACTCCCCCCCCCCCGCCCGGCCAGCAGAGTTCTTTTGTCATGGCGAGTCTCACAAGCCGACCCACATTCTTTTTCCTGGAGAACCTGAAGGGGTCCGTGCAATTTTCTCCACCCTTCGAAGTGGGCAATCTCGACAGCCCAAGATTGCCACGGCTTTTGCTGCTCCAAACGTAGGACCAAGCCAAGGCTAGTTCGGTTTGCTTGCAGGGCCGAATTTTCGACCTTTGTTCAACCTTCGGGAGGGCACAGGGGACCACCCAAACTTCATATTTTGTGAGGGTACCATTTGTGGGTAGATTTAAAGGAAAACTAGGAAGACTACCCCATGGTGGGGTCCTCTCATTTACAGACGGACTTATACTATTGCTCCCGTTTCAAGCCATCCAGAAGTCTCACCGAGGTCTGGCCCAGACCACGTTTTGGAGGTGCGCTCTGCAGTCACTGGCTGCTCAAAACTTGGGTACCTCTCTCATCCCCCCCCCCCCGAGCAAAAACAGCAACAACACACGCGACCCCTGGTCCTTAATTTGAGCCTCAGCCGCTTTGCCACGTCCCAGCAAGTTTAACGTCCCATCCCACACCCACGAACCCAACTTCCCCCTCTCAGGAAAATGCCGCGCAGCAAGATCAAAACCCTACGGGACCCACAAAGTGACACATTCCCAAAAGGTTGGAGGGGGAGGCTCCATTTTTCGCAAGAGGCTTCCAAAGCGCGGACTTGGATCCGTGGGAGGTGGTGCAACTGGGCCTCCGCCTGAGCGAGGCTGGTGGCCTGAAAGCGAAACCGCAGGACTGGCGGTTCGGTGAGGGGCACCAGAGTACAGAGAAGCCGAAGCCGGAGCCTTGATGGGTTAGCCATATTGATAAATCCCCAGTTTGTGGCGTGACACACCCATGGTGCATCTGTGTCTTGATTCCGGGGCCGACATACCCGACTGTTGGCGCCTGCATGAAATCAACACCCATAGTGTCCAGGACTGGGAGCAGCTATGTGGCGAGATCAAAGAGACAGGCGCGGCACCACAGGGCCAATTTTTGAAGGTACAGACCAAATCGCTCTGTGCCCAAACCCGCATTTGAC